GGCCATTTCTCTTTCAAACCACCACACTGGGAAGTTACCATGGAACACAAACAGAACATTTAGGAAGCAAAGCTTATTAAAGGAAGTATGTCACTGAGCATGGAGTTTGAGGTTTTATAACTTGGCTTTACTTCTTATTCTCTCTCTGTTTCCTTTGTGTAGATGAAATATGATCAACGAGATCCCTCTCTTGCTCCAGCCACCATACCTTCTTTGTCATGTCTTCTCCTTCACCATCATGGACTCTATCCCTCGGCAACTGTGAGCCAGAATGAACTGTTTCTCCTTTAAGTTGTTTTTTTTTTCTTGGAGTATTTTTTTGTCACAGCCACAGGGGAGAAAAACTAACATAGTTATTATAAGTCTTGGACTAAATTTAATTGGTAGAGACTAAGGGATAAACAAAGATATCCCAGGAACAGGGAAGAGCATGGATATAAAAAGTGACAGAGGTAACAATTGAGTGACTTTCCCTATGGTCCCTCTATTTCTATCAGAAAATCAGAACTACTCAAGACACTACTCATTGTGCTGATCAGATTTTAAATTGAATAAGGAGGAAAACAGAGAGACCTTCTGGGGCCTTTGAGAGAGAAAATTTGATGGTTCATATTAAGAATGATGGCCTTGCAAATGTATGTAGCATTCAGGTGCAGGGATTTGACCAGAAGATATCTGAATAGTCAGTTATGATTAAAAGCCAAATATTCTTGTGATGTTTAAAGAGTCTCGTATTTTCCAACTCAAAGGGAAATACATTTCCTTGCATATCTTTCAACATTGAAAACTTATTCCCATTTTCCCATATTCTTATACTAGACCTTTTGTGATGATTGGTGAAGAAATGAATTATCTGTATGCCACTGTCAAACTGTGGTGATGTCTCTTTTTTTAGTAGAGCATGTGACTCCTATAAACAAATAAGACTTTACAGCCTTTGAATACCATACAGCTCAAAGCTCCATCCAATGAGAAGTGTTCACCCATGTTCCACAGAACAAAGGGGCCTCCCTTCTTACCAGAGACAATGGAATTTCTTCCCCTCTGCAGGGAGATTTTATGAACATCCTGACATCTACGGAGATGTTTTATAGCCTATGGAGATGGTATATAAGACGATGCTTTCATTTCCATCAGCCCCAAGGAGGTAATTTTTTTTCCCAGTTGAATAAAGTCATGGACAGAGAGAGGAAGTAGCTTACCCAAGTCACTCAGACCTGAGTTAGACACACAGTGACTCTGTTCAAAATAAGCTGATTCTAGGATCTAGGCACCCCACCCCCACCCCAACTCCAAACAGTTGGCAAGACTAGCTGTTCATGTGTTAGCCATTGATCCTACTCTGTCCACTTCACTCTGTTTTGTGGAGTCAGTACTCCGTGTCCCAAGAATGATGCATGACTACCCCATTAGCAGATCTGTTCATGTGGACATGCTGTGTTCAGTCACGAGGAAGCTAACTCAATTATCTTTTTTTTGATTGGGTTTTGGTAGAGACACAGAGGAGTTCTGCTTGTAGTTAGCTTTACAACATGTTATAAATATCAATATACTGCACATTAGCTGTCGAAAAGGAACCTTAGCATTTCAAATGCTTGTGAAGAGATGGAAATGTCAAGCTATATTAATACCATTAGTTTAACTCTGAGAGCCAGCCATTCAACAGCTCCTTCAAGACCTAGAAGTTTATGAATGGAAGCTACAGGTTTGCAGGGAATTATTGAAAGGGAGGGAGACAGTGGGGGGGGGGGGTGTCACTAAAGTTTTCCCTTTGTACTTTTGGTAGTTCAGAGAAAGCCTTGTAGGACAATACTTTTGTTTCATTTGAGATAGGGTCACATATAGCCCAGGCTAGAACACCCAGTGTATCAGAGATTGGTCTTGAACTCCTGGTCCCTCTGCCTTTACTTCTTCAGTGTTGATTCTTTAGTTATTTACTTCTACTGTTAGCTAAAAGAACATTCCAATAATAAGTGATACTTCCCTGGTTTTCTCTCAAGGCATCAGAAATCTTGGTAGAAATTTTAAAGACAAGCAACAGACAATATTCTATCTGCATAAATCTCTGCCTCGAAACGTTATCAATACTACAAAGCCACTAATTGATGATGTGCAAAACTTCTTTTATAAGTAACCCATGGACACATTCATATTAAAAATTTTCAACTAAATTACTCCTTTTAAATTTTTATTTTTTAAATCTGTGTGTTTTGCTGGCATGTGCATCAGTGCACTTAGTGTGTACTGGGTGCCTGCAGAGGCCAGAAGAGGGCATCAGATCCCCAGGAACTGGAGTTACAGATGGTTGTGTGGATGCTAGGACCTGAACCTGGGTCCTTTGTGATAGGAGCAAGTGCTCTGAGCCATCTCTCCAGCCCCATCATATGTTAGATTTAAATGTTCATAGAATATTTGATTTCTGTGCTTTTCTCTCACTCTTCCAAACCTTATGAACCTCTATTTTATGATCAATGAAGTGAAAAGCATTAAATTTCACATGTTCTATTTGGCCATTTGATTTGACTATTCTAGATACTCTCTTTCTTTGTATATTAGATTACCTACCCCATGAACATGGAGGCTGCCATCTGACCCTAGGAGAACCAAGATTAGAGAAAGCGTGCCACTATGCCTGGTTGATCCACACTCACATCCTCACGCTTGTTAGGTAAGAACTCTTCCCACCGAACCATCTTCCCAGGACCTAAGTATCTTTTTTTGACAACAGCATCTTTCTGCCAACAACTAGTTCCCATCGGGAACTACACACTCTGTTTCTGTAAACATGGACACCAGTGAACAGAGCAGGAGAGTCTCCTGCTCCCTGAATGAGGCTGCATTCCTTCTCTGGTTGTCCCAACATGGTGATTCCTCTGTCTGAAATGCTCCTCCATACCCAAGCTTCATAGGGCTACCCATGGGCCATCTTCTCAGAAAGACCTTTTGGGTTCACCAGTCTGACCCCATCAATACCGCCCTCTGCCTTCCCTTCCGGCTTTGCTCTCGTCCACAGAACTGAACAATTCCTGAACTATGCCCACTCGTTTGTTTCCTATTTTGTCAATGTCTTTCCACATCGATGAGAATATTTTCATTCTCTGTGCTTTCTCAATGACCTAATCAGTCACTGGTCCAGAGCAGATGCTCAACACGACATATGGTTTGCGTCTTTTTTCCTTATTGTTCTCCTTCCTTTCTGTTTTGCCGTTCAGTTTATTTGAACAATACTGCTTGGATTATAGCATTTATGGCATATATAGGAATTGTAGCATATATAGGAATGTGCTAGAAAGAGACAATAAAAAAAATGATGAAGGGATGGATTTTGTTGCTTGTGACTCACGACATAGGTACTGGATGTAGTAATTTATTACAAAAACAGTATGAAGGAGAACCATGGCTGAAATTTTAAAGGCCTTAGGGATATGATGGTTAGAACTGGTTAAGATTCAGAAACCCAACCCAGATTGCTTAAACACAAAGGAGAACATATTCTTTTACATAACTTAAAAAGTCCAGTCTTTACAGAAATTATCCATGCAATATTGAGGGCAACCAGACTTCCTCTATTTTCTGTCTCGTGTCTCTCCCATCCATTCATGGGCAGATCTCATCTGAACCAACAGGCACAAAGATGCCGCTAGGACTAGCAGCTTGCATCCTGTTGATTACAAGTCAGGGCTTTCTAGACAGAGTCCTGAAAGTCTCCTGAAGGCAAGGTATAGTCAGGAATCCTAAACACGCCCATTGTTACTAACTGGTCACAGTCTGAGAAGTGTATAGCATGAGTTTCTTATGATATTACTTTATTTCAATTTGTCCATGTTTGCATTAGACACAGGATGCAGATCTCCACTCTGAGCTTTGTATTTATGTTTTGCAATGCACGTTCTGTCATACCACATGATACTAGGAAAAGTTTCCGGAAACACCCTGGTTGACTCCAGATGTCAGAGAGAGGACTCCTGAACTTACTTAAAGGTGAGATGGTCCTTCAGATTCCTGCTTCATGAAAGAGTTTGTTAGACATTCTGCAGGATACACAAGAAGGTGACTGAACTGTCTTTGAAATTTCCTGCTTCATGAAAATGTCTGCTGGATATTATGGGCCTGTAGGCTGAATATGGATGCCCCAACGGCACAGAAGAACTTTGTTTGGGTGACTGTACAGGCAGCAAGATGTCTCTGTCATTTCTAGAGTTTAGAAGTTGCTTATTTCTTGTTTACTTAGGTAATATTATATCCTTCTGGAGTCTTTCATGGAGTTGAAGAATGGGTAGTCATAGTTATAGTTTTCCATTGTTATGATAAAAGATAAAATAGATCTAAATATTTTAACTGTAATTCTTGCTTGATACCTGTTATATATAATTTTACTATGTTAAAGCCTTCCTTTTTGTTTGAACAGAAAAGGGGAAATGGTGTAGGAGGCCCCTCTATATTTGTGTTGCTTTCATTGGTTATTAAATAAACTGCCTCGGCCTAGTTGATAGGGCAGAACTCAGGTAGGCAGGGAAGACAGAACAGGTTTAATTATAGCAAAAGACTTAACTCTTGAACCTGGAAGTGCTAAATCAGTATATTTTTGAGTGGTTCTGTGTTAGAACCCACATATCTTTGAGAAGTCCTATGTTAGAATGTTGAAAACTTGATATTTGAGTTGCTAACTTGTGTTTCATTAAAAATAGAGAGAAAAAAAGAAAGAAAGGAAGGAAGGGGGAAAGGAAGGAGAGAAAGAAGAAAAGAAAACAAAAAGATTTAAATAAAATTTGTTTTGGGATCAGGACAGAATTCCTGACAATTTATGAGATGGCTCTAAATATACTTTGGCCATTTTGTACCATGTGTTCTTATGAAATGACTTTCTCAGCACTGATGTTTACAAAATCACTATATTGATCAATGATGAAAATGATAATAACTCCTTGTGCCCTGCAGTATCAAATGTTCAGCCATGATTCAATTCTCTATGGCAAAACAAATAAGCAAACTCAACTCAATAACAGGCAGATTCACCTGAGTGTTTAATAAGTGATAAAATTATATTATATGAAAATCGTTTTGAAATAAATTTCCTTAAGATTTATTTTCAGAAGGCTTTGATTCGCATAGCTGTTGGATGTGCCACCCACCTATGGTCAAGAAAAAAAATCTCAGTGTCAAAGAATGATGAATAAAAAAAGTCTTCATGTGAAACAGTCTACAGATACTCAGAGCAAATGCTCTATTTCCAAGGCGGTTGCAGCTATGAAAGAGCCTGTCCGTGCTGTGCTCAGTGGGGTGGATCATGATGTAGCCATCCAATCTGTCTTTTCCATTTGTCCGATGAATCAGTGACTGTTCCCTAGAAGAATGAGATGGACATCACTACGGCTGTAGTTTTGTTTGTTTTCTCAGCTGTGTGTACATCTGTGTAGAAAAGCACACACAAATTGGGAAGAACTGGGTTGAAACAACTGAACATCATTTGGCTTTTTAAAATAGAATCTAAGTGTATCCAGCTAGATGGATGGTATGCTTAGCATGGGTCTGCTCACACACTCTGAAACAGAGAAAGGACCTGGTATAGAAGCTAGAGCAATGGGAATATAGCCCAATTCTCAGTTGGGCAACCCCAGCAATACCAACTGCTGCCATTACTGGGTCCTAGGAACCAGGTGTTGGGCAAAGGTCGTTCCCTTAGAACTTCTGTCATTACAGCTGAGAAACCTGCTTCAAAGAGCCTCTCCTCCATGTCCCTCTGTTAGCAAATTAAAGTTGTATATGGATAGAAGTGTTTGTACCCTAGTAGAAAGAGGAACTAGCGTAACAGATGTCTGTCTGGTTTTATTCTAGTGAAAATGTCTAACAAAGGGACTTGACAAACCTTGAAAAAAGTGACTAGGATCTGTGTGATATAAAGTTTTTACTATTTGTTTTAGATGATAGAATTTAAGAGAGCACAAAATAATCACATAGTTTGTTTAATGAAGTAATGGTTTTCAACAAACATTTATTAACCTTCACGTCTAATGAGAATCATACTAACACAGCCTGAATCACACACAGCCTCCAACCCTCATCATGGAATAGCTTTGTCCAAAGAATTGGACAGTCAAGACAATGAAAGTCGAAACAAATGATGTCTCACAAAGTGCAAAGTGATGATGACTGGACATTCTCTGGCTAAACACATGGTAAAAATCATAATTTCTGACTCTTGCAACATCTCACTAACAAAGAAAAGTGTCTTAATTGTTTGGCGTGTTTGAAGCTGCAGCCAGAGATTTGCATCTCAGTTTGGTAAATTTTACGTGCCGAGATCTGCCATTCCTAGTTAACATATAAATGTGGCCGAGCACCAATTAGGGAGATATGTCAGCACACCGGGGCCTCGGAAGAAATAAGTCATGTGTAATTGGCTATGTGTTATCGTCTAAGTTCGACACATCTAAGACGCAAAGGCAGATGCTTCAGTTCCAGAACAGTTCATGTTTTCAGTGCACACACACTCAGGAGAGTGTGCTTGCAAGAACACGTCAGGAAACATTTTCATGTGCCGATGATGGGAATACCTGCGGTTCTTAAGAGTGTTGGCCTTCTGAGGGTGGTGGCTTCTGTTGCTTTCCTACCTGGGAAATAGAGCAGCTCTATTGCCGATGTTTTTTCTCAATCCTCTAATTAACTGCCCCTGGTAGACTAACAAAGCAAAGAGCGTGGATCTGATTTCAGATTTTAAATAACAAGTATAATAATCCCTTTGTTGAGGCCAACTCTGTTGCACAGAAACACTGGGCAAATGGTTGTCGCTAGGGCTCTCTGTTCCTATGAAGCTGACCATTTGTCTCCTAATAGCCACAAGAAGCAGTTGATGCATGCCACGCACCCCCCCCCCATCTGCACTTTATGTGCTAGAATCCAGTTCATCAGCTTGGGCAAGGGGCTGGAGGTGGAGGAAACACACACAGAGACAGACCAACACACGGACCTTCAATCATTGATACAAAAGCCCTTCTTTAATAGTACCATGGAGGCTTAAATACCCTGCAGTCAATGGCCAACAGGTGAAAATCCCATCCTCTGATCCTCTAGGCTAGGCACAGCTTCTAGTAACTTCAATTAGAAGTCTCTGGACAGGGAAAAGCAGCTGAAGGCCAGGACTCAATTGGTCCCAACAGATGCAGGCAAAGGGGAAATAAGGATGGAGGATTTTCATTGTTTGCTTTATGCTACTGAATAGTGGACATAAGGCCACCTGCTGGCTAGCCAAACACTCCACGACTGAGCTTTATCCCCAGCACAGATTGCCTTGAGTAACCATATGCAGGTAGGCCTTGAACCTCCGATCCTCTTGCCTCCTAAATGGCTAAATTACAGGCCTATGCCTCCAACCCCTGTGAATAAATAATCTCTTATCAGTCCTAGGATGATTGGAAAGGTTTTCTCCCCCACTCTTGGGAAGCCCTGAATGTTCATTATAACCTTCTTTCTGGCAGGTAGAACCCACAGGGAAGTTGGGAGCCTTAGCACTCTCATACCCCCAATAGGAAAAGACTCTCTATAAAAGAGTCCATCTTGTGGGAAGTCTGTATATGTGTCACTTCTACAGTTAATGAATAAAGAAGCTTCTGTTGGCCAATGACTTAACAGAATATAGTCAGGCTAGAAAAGAAGTATATATATA